GCCACTCCTTGTACGCAAAGTGTACCCGTCTCAACTGAACAGTAAATTAGACAGTCAATTCGGCTGATCCAAGGCCGTCCAATCAGTTTGCTCGAATGTTTTCAGAGCGACCACACCTAGTGGTCGGCGAGCCTCTAAAAATCCAGATGTGTCAGGCTCGCCAACCAATGTCGAGGGAAACATCCACCAGATGCGCTAGATACGACCAGCTCGCTGACGGTCCAGTAGAATTACGCCTGCAACGCCAACGGAATCCGTCGGCGTTGCCCTAGGAAAATCCGTCCACCCACAGCCAATAGGAACGCGCCAAGGAATCTGACATTCTCTTGAAACGCGGAGTTGATACACAGGTGGAGTGGCTTGCGATGTGGCGATGTTTACTCAGTCGCTGCATACGCCAGTCAAGCCGCCCATGCACAGTACACAAAAAACAACGCCCCATTTCCTGGGGAAACCCCATAGTCCACGTTGCCCCTATCGTACGGCTTGTATTCGTTTAAAGGGAAATCTCTCGCGTCGCCCCCCGGGTGCTCAGGGAATATGACCTGTACAGTGTTTTAAATCTCCTTACCGGTTAACTCTCTCAGTGGAGCCAAACACTCGTCACTCCAGAGTACACCACTACTGCTTCGGGTGCTCGGGAAATACCCCCGACGGTCGGTTCCGTGCTCTGTCACGTACAATCACATTCCGCTAAAAACAAACGCAGCCGTCCTGACATACACGCTTGATTTTAACGAGATTTAGGGTGTACCCGACACGACCCCTGTCGCGCTGGTCGGGAAATTTCAACCATTTGGTCCAAATTTCCAACTAATCTCAAAATTGTGAGCTGCGTTCTCTACTAACCCACCCATCTAATCGCCTAACAGTCTAGAACGCCACCAGCACACCACCCATGCAGTCTTAGCGTGAGGTAAGGTCTAGGAGGCGTTTTGGTGTTGGGCTTTCTAGAATCTAGATACAATGGGTGTTAGTGCAGTGAGAGGGGGGGGGGGGGGGGGGGTCTGGTTGGAAGTAGGTATTGGGCGAAAAAAGTTGGGAGTCACGATTTGGCGACATAATGGTTGGCTTCGCCGATTTTCCGGCAGGCTGCCCCAAAAAGTTCCGCCAAGCGTATAGTGTATATATGCTCGTAGCGTATAGCGTATATTAGACGTGGGCAGAAGCTGAGCCACACCCGGCTCGGCTCGGCTCGGCTCGTCACCATTCTTGACAGCGAGCCGGGGCGAGCCGGCTCGCCCCTGGCTCAATTTCGAGCCAATGGATCGCGCCTCGGGATTTGGGGGGGTTCGCGTGGGTACAGTTTGTAGATCGACGAAACACTCTCCTCACAGACTAGTACCACGCCATCCCCAATTCCACTAACCCTAGCCAGCAACTCCATCGTTTACGTTGCGCATGCCTTAGCTAGTTTTAAAGCACCATTTAGACCAGATTAGGAGTTTATGTAGGGCTTGACAAACTCAATCCCCGCGGCGGACCTAGTCAAAGCTGGCAAACAGGGGTCCCCAAAAACATCTAACCCCGAAAAACCAGCAAGGCAAGCCGAGCCGAGCCGGCTCGCCGGCGAGCCAACATGGGGACGAGCCGAGCTAGGCATCTCGGGGTCCTGGCCCGCCATCGAGCTGAGCCGGCTCGACTCGACCCAAAACGAGCCGAGCCGAGCCATGCTCTGCTCATGCCCACGTCCAGCGTATATACGCATCGTATTTACACTACAGGCTCGGCGAAGATTGCGTATCGTGCAACCTAGTTTACGGTCTTCGCAGTTGCGACGTGCGGTGTGCATAAAATCTTATACACACAGCTGGTCTTGAGCGATGAAGCAGAGACACAGTGCTTAAGGATTTTCCATTAGTTAGGTAGGGCAACTGCACAGCGTTGTTGAACGTTCTGGTTGACAAAGCTATTCCAACAAAAAACCCTCCCCTTACATTCACCACTCACCCCCCTCCTCACCTATCCCCATCTTCACCCGCTCGAGACCAACACATGTGGTGGGCATGCTGAATCTCACAACGAGTTACCTGCGCTTACCTATCCTCCCCCCCTTCCCCCAGGGAGTGTATTCAGACGCGGGGTGTGCGCTGAGCGGGCCCCCCGACCACTCGGTGGTGGTGGTGGGGTACAGCCTGGCGAGTGAGAGCGTGGCAGGGGACACGCCGCACTGGATCGTGCGCAACTCATGGGGGGACGCATGGGGCGAGCACGGCCACATGCGCATCGCCATGACTGGGGGGGATGGCGTCTGCAACATGCATGCCACGCCCGCCTCCTACCCCACCATCGCCAGTGAGTTGCTACTGCCTGACTGTTAGATGCACCGTGCCATGCCAACGCTATGAGACAAACTCCCACTACGGTGCTCTCTTTCCCCATGATCACAACCCCCTTACCCCCGCCCCCCCCCAGCCTTGAGTCCTTGTGTGAACACCATCAACCCGTGTGGGGGCGGGCAGTGTGTGGCGGGTCGCAGGGCAGGCTCTGCCACGTGCGTCTGCCCGCCAGGCTTCACAGCAGTCAGCAACGGCGACGGCACGCAGACATGCGCCCCAGGTCATTCCCATTCCTTCTGTGCGCATGCATGCATTGCTCCATGCGTTGTCTCTTGTTTTCGCTCATCGCTCTTTCTCCTCCATAGCACCTCATCCTGCAAACCGCATGAGCGCAAATTAAAAAACACAGGAAGGCCTCCTAGCAGCTTCAGCAGCCAGCCATCCCTTCCATGCCATCCCTTTCCTCACCCCTAGAGTGTCCCCCCTTCTCCCCCCCACAATCTCCACCAGCCAACCCCTGCAGCTTCTACCTGTTCAACCCGTGTGGGTTTGGGTCGTGCGTGAGTGGCGGCAGTGGCGGGTACACGTGTGTGTGCTTCAGAGGCTTCCAGCCGGGCCGGCGAGCTGCTGATGGCTCAACCATCTGCGTGCCGGGTGAGGCATCCCATGTTATGGCATGCCATCCATGCTGTGTTATTCCGTGTCATGCCATGCCATGCCAGAAGGACACGACATTTAGCGTTTCGCGTGTAGGAGGTCGTGCCATTCTAAGAAAGTCAAGGCATGCGGCGTGTAGGAGGGCAGGGCATTGCATGTTCTTTTAGCTTTCCTGATACAGTGTAGCAGCATTCCACGCTCTTTCAGTATGAGTTGTGCTCTTCCCATAGCTTGCACCTTGCATGTGATTCACCTTCCCACATCCTGCCCATGCTGCTTGGCAACCACGGTCACCACTACATGCTCACAAACGAGAACCCAACTGGTCGCATGCCACCCACCACCCTCTTCCGCCTTCCCACCTCCGCTCGCCCTCGCCAGGCCGCGCTTCCCCAGACAGCCCTGTTCATGTGGTGGCAGCGGACACCACGTGTGCCGCCATTCAAACTGCCTTCAGCATTCCACGGCCTGCTCTGCTGCTCCAAAACCCAAAGCTTGTGCGTGCCGTGCGCGGCGGCCCATCTCCGTTGCATGCATTGCTGTGATTCTCCATATTTCCTGTCCTTGGGCCATTTGGCGTGCCTGCCCATTTGTCTTGTTGCATGTGCCTTCTCTTCTGAGTGTTCTCTGTATCTCCTGCTCCATGCCATGCCATGCCATGCCATGCAGGTGTGCAGCAGGGCGGTAAAGAAGGGCACTCAGGTTAATGTCAGTCAGCCTGCCAGCAGTGGGGAGTGCTCGTCCTGGTACTGCACTGCTCAGGTCAGTGGGAGAGGGGTTCAGGCACGTGTACCAGCATGTATGTATGTCTGCATCTATCAACCCAAGCATACATGTACATATATGCAAGCACATCAACTCGTTGACATGCATTCTCAGATTCACATACATCCATGCGTGCATGCACGCATGCATGTGTAGCCATGTCAGCTGTGCATCTCATCCCCCACCCCCCTCCCCACCAGGGCGAGAGCTGCTCCTCGCTGCAGGCCACTCTGTCGCTGGACGCCTCCTCCCTGGCTCTCATCAACCCGGCCATTGACTGCTCCTCGCCACCCCCTCTTCCCCCCGCCACCACTGTAAGCCAATCCTGCCACCCACAATGAAATATCCCCCCCACCACCCGCAATGAAATATCCCCTCCCACCCGCAATGAAAAATCCCCCCCCACCCGCAATGAAATATCCCCCCCCACCCGCAATGAAATATCCCCCCCCCACCCGCAATGAAATATCCCCCCCACCCGCAATGAAATATCCCCCCCCAACCGCATTGCAATATCCCCCCCCACCCGCAATGCCACCACACCCCTTCCACCACACGCCTTCCTCACCTCCGTGAAACACCCTTAATGTCTGATGCATGGAGTGCACTCCAGCCTCTGCCCACTCATACGTGGGCATTCCAGTTCTTGTGCGTCATTCTCTTGTCCTCTTCCCTTATTCATGTTCTCGACTACTCCTCACCACCCACTCTCGCCCCCGCCACCACCGTATGCCAACGCCACCATCCACATTGCAATCTCTCCCTTTCCACCACACCCCCTCCCCCTCGGAAGTGACCAACCGGGTCAGGCGGCGCTTCATCGTCCTCAACCGCCCATCTATGACCCCGACGCCAGGAAGACGTCGAATCTTATCGAGGGGGACAAGCAGCACTTTCAGCCGCAAGCAGCAGTTTCAACAGCTCTTCCGACCACCAATCCCTAGACTCTTCGCCATCCACCAACCGAAGAAACCGCCACTACACTGCAAGTTCATTGATATTCCTCTAACGGGCGATGAAACCCATTCCTACCGAAGCCCATGGGGAGGATAACATAAGTGTAGGATCTCCAGCAACAGCATCAGACAGAGGAGGGTCCAGCTGGCGAGACCGGATAGATACGGGGCATTTGACAACATGATTTCGTGTGGTCGAGAGAGAACGCGAACCGACTTCTCCCCATACAGCCCGAGCCGACCAACTGCTCACACACTGCAACAAGGGTCCTGATTTATCCGAGGACAAATCGTCATCGAGCCACAGCTTGCCTTCGGATGAATCAGGACCCTTATTGCAGTGTGCGTCGGAGGTCTGAGCAATTGGTGGGCTCAGGCTGTATGGGGGGAAGTCGGTTCGCTTTCTCTCTCCACCACTCGAAATCATGTTGTCAAATGCCCCATATCTATCCGGTCTTGCCAGCCGGACCCTCCTCTGTCTCATGCTGTTGCTGGAGATTCTACACTTATGTTGTCCTCCCCATGGGCTTCGATAGGAATGGGTTTCATCGCCCGCCAGAAGGATATCAATGAACTGAAAGTGTAGTGGCAGTTTCTTCGGTTGGTGGATGGCGAAGAGTCTAGGGATTGGTGGTCGGAAGAGCTATTAAAACTGCTGCTTGCGGTTGAAACTGCTGCGCCCGACCCAGTTGGTCACTTCCGAGGTTTATATGGAGCCACATTCTCGCGTGACCAACCACCCTTCTCTCACATGTTCTGCCATTCCAATCTATGGCTCTGCTCTCTCACCTCTGCTTCATGCATGGTCTGCCATTGTGGCGTTTCAGAACCCCTGCGTTTCAGTTCTTATGTGCTGTCCTTTCATCCTTGTCTGCCCCATGCTTGCCTGCGCTGTCATTACAGCAGTTCAGGGCTTCCGCCCCTTCTCTCATGCTCAGCACTTCTGACTCCAATTTCATTTCTTACCTTCAGAGCCCACCTCTCCCTCGCCCACTTCCTCTCCCCCTCCCCCTCCCCCTATCCCTCTCTCTTCCCCATGCCTCCCCCCCCCCCCCCCCCTCTTCTTCGTCCTGCAGGTGTGCACATCCACGACAGGCAGCGCCCCCACGGCCTACCCTCTCTGCACGCGCTGGGTGCTCTCTGCTCCAGATGACACCTGCGCCTCTCTCGCCGCCCGCCTCGCCCTCTCTCTGCCGCTGCTGCTCGCCCTCAACCCGGGCCTCCTCTGCTCCAACCTCCCCGCCCGCACGCCCGCCACCATGCCCTCCTTTGGGGAACAGGTCAGAAGCACTCTAGTGTTTGTTGCTTCATGGTAGGCTGTGGCCCACTGGAAGGGAAGTGGGAGTGGGGGGAGGGAAGAGGGGTTGGGGGATATGAGTTTGTGGCTGTTTGTGTCTTCATTGTGATACGACAGCTCGTGCATTCGTGGTGGATTGACTATCTTTTTGCAGCCCAAGCAGCATGGTTTTTCCTCTCCCTCCATGCAGGTGTGTGTCAGCCAAGCCCCACCAAGCCTCCCCTGTGCCAAGCCCAACTACCGGTTTGAGGTGGCGGCTGGAGACACGTGCACGGCTCTGGTTGCCCGGCGGTTTGGGTGCGTGGAGGCCCTGCAGAACCTCAACGCGGGGCTCTCCTGCTCTGACCGCCTGCTGCATGTGGGGCTCAACCTCTGCGCCCCGCCACAGCCGACAGAAGCCTGCCTCGCCCTCAAGGCTCTCACCGCCTGACTGACTATCTGACTGGCTGACTGCCCCCCACCTGGCTGACTGCCCCCCACCTGGCTGACTGCCCTCCACCTGGCTGACTGCCCCCCACCTGGCTGACTGCCCCCCACCTGGCTGACTGCCCCCCACCTGGCTGACTGCCCCCCACCTGGCTGACTGCCCCCCACCTGGCTGACTACCCCCCACCTGGCTGACTGCCCCCCACCTGGCTGACTGCCCCCCACCTGGCTGACTGCCCCCCACCTGGCTGACTGCCCCCCACCTGGCTGACTGCCCCCCACCTGGCTGACTGCCCCCCACCTGGCTGACTGCCCCCCACCTGGCTGACTGCCCCCCACCTGGCTGACTGCCCCCCACCTGGCTGACTGCCCCCCACCTGGCTGACTGCCCCCAACCTGGCTGACTGCCCCCCACCTGGCTGACTGCCCCCCACCTGGCTGACTGCCCCCCACCTGGCTGACTGCCCCCCACCTGGCTGACTGCCCCCCACCTGGCTGACTGACCCCCACCTGGCTGACTGACCCCACCTTGCTGACTGACCCCACCTGGCTGACTGCCCCCACCTTGCCGACTGCCCCCACCTTGCTGACTGCCCCCACCTGGCTGACTGACCCCACTGTTAAAGTAAGAACTGAATAATGAACTAGAGGTAGAAACCTAGAACAAATACTAGTTGGTTGTACTCACTAAAGTATACCTCAGTTTAGCCTATAACTTGTGCACAACTAACATGTACACACCCCCTACGCTAGACAAGGGGTGAAGCTAAGCAAGAAACAAACAGCTCAGGGTGGCACTACTAGTCCAACCACTGAGGCAGGGGTCTGGAGACCAGTCAGCAAGGGTACAAAAAAGACTACAGCAAGCCAGGGCGGTACTACTAGTCCAGCCACTGGAGGTAAGGCCACAAGGCCAGTTTGACAGGTATATATAATAGAGAGTACACAATCAGGATCCTAACAGGTGAGTAGCTACAGGAACAAGACCAAGCTGTATACAGTGCCGCTGATGATCTTTAGGCGCAAGCGCCTTCGTAAAGATATCAGCTGTGTTGGCACCTGAGGCCAAGTGAACTACGCGGGCCTGGCGGCGCTGCTGTAGCTCGCGCAGGAGGAAGTACCGCAGCTGGATATGCTTTGCTCTGCCCTCAAGCCGAGGCTCCTGACACAGGAGTATCATGGCCATGTTGTCAGCGTACAGGACCAGGGTAGAGCTAGGCCGCTCACCTAAGTCTGTGAGCAAGAAGGTCAGCCAGCGGAGCTCCTGTGCCGCCATGGCACCAGCGTAGATATCAGCCTCACAGCTGGACTGAGCCACAGACGACGAGCGAGTGGATCTCCAAGAGATAACACTCGAACCAAGGCTAAAACAGTAGCCCTGTGACGACCTGAGCATCTCAGAGTCGTCTGCCCAAGAAGCGTCTATGTACCCAGTAAGGACCACTGGCCTGCGTCCTCCTAGCACTAACCCCATGCCCGATGTACTAGCAAGATAACGCAAAACCCTCTTAGCGGTAGACCAGTGCTGAGGTCGGTGTCTGCCTGTAGCCACAAAGCGAGCCAGGATGCTGAGAGGGTATGCGAGATTTTGGCGAGTGCAAGTCATCAGGTACATGAGGCAACCCACCAGCTCTGCATAGGGGCCACTGGGCTCTACGGGCTCCTCAGGAACAGGAGCGAAGAGCCCATGGTCTACAGGTAGAGGTGTGGGCTGTGCGGAAGAGAACTGAAGACCGAACCTCTGAAGGACCTGACGCACCAGGTGTGACTGTGTCAGAGTGATGGTGCGTGCTGCTCTGACCCTGGAGATCTGCAGGCCAAGATAGCGACGCAGCTCTCCAAGGTCAGTGCAGGTGTGTCTCTTCAGCATCTCGGCCTTCACAGAGGCCAGTGCGTCCCTGTCAGCAGTAGCAAAGACCAGGTCGACTACGTAGACAAGGATGAAGAACGGAGTCTGGCCGGAACGCACAAACAGCGAGGGGTCAGCAGAGGACGGAAAGAACTGCAGGTCTGCTAACGTGGCCTGCAGCGTGTCGTGCCACTCGCGAGGAGCCTGACGCAGGCCGTAGACCGGGCGCCTGAGAAGCCACTGGGTCCCAGGGGGGAAGGTACCAGTGAAGCCCTGTGGTCGACGCAGGTAGACCTGCTCGTGTAGGCTGCCCTGAAGAAAGGCAGTAGAGAAGTCGAGGGAGTGAAGCTCGTAGTCGCACTGTGCTGCTACGCATAGCAGCGCTTGAAGAGTGGTCATCTTCGGAGTCGGGGCGAAGGTCTGGAAGAAGTCAACCCCCTCGCGTTGGCTGAAGCCTCTGGCCACGTAGCGCGCCTTGAAGACAGGCGGCTCTCCAGGGGGGCGCTTCACCTTGAAGAGCCACCGACCATCGACTACGTTCATCCCAGGCAAGGGAACTGCGTCGACGTAAGTGCCGGTGGACCTCCAAGATGCCATCTCCTGCTCCATGGCAGCTATCCACTGAGAGGCCCAAGGTCCCGAGGTGGCCTCAGCGTAGGTGCGAGGGGTCGGGATGTCGAAGGCGTCTGGGTCACCCTCAGGGACTAACAGCATGGAGCAGGGATGGGGAGCAGCCTCAGAGAGGAAAGCAAGCTCGTACTGCCTGTCCTCAAGGACGTCACTTCCAAGGGCAGGAGCACCCCCGACGGACAGAGGACGAGCAGGGTCAGAGACCAGAGCGGTAGCGTAGTCAAGGCGGCGGGTAGAGGCAAAGTCAGCGACAGCAGCGACAAGCGCATCAAGGCGCGAGACAGGAACAGCAGGGTCGGTAACAAGAAAGGCAAGGACCCGAGGGACAAGGGGACGAGCGGCACGGCGGTAGTCAGAGAACGGAGGAGGTGCAACAGCCAGGGACGAGAGAGGAGGGGACGAGAGGAGGGGAGGACGAGACGAGCGGGAACGGAGCAACATAGGGTGGGTGGGAAGGACAGGAGAGACGGGACGAGCACGGGAGGGACGGCGAGACCAAACGTGGGACGGAGGTGTAGGGTCAGGAGACAGCGGAGGGGACACAGGAGGGGAACGAGGAGGGAGACGGGCCGGAGACGAGTCCGGGGGCGGGAACACAGGACCGTAGACAGGAAGGTCAGCTGGCAGTGGGAGAGACACTAGCGCGCAGTCCGGGGAGGGAAGGCCGAGCAGGCGGAGAGCAGAGACCGGCGGCGACGGCGACGGCTGGACCGAAACCCTCGGACCGGCAGAGGCAGGACAGCCGTCGGCAGAACACTCAATAGCAGCACCCCCAGAACCAACACCCCCAGAGCGAGAACCCCCTCCAACACCAGCAGCAACCCCAGAAGACGCAGGACAAACACCCTCCTCAACTCCAGCACCCCCAAGGGCCAAGAGCGGCGGCGGCAGTGGCGGCGACGACTGCGGCGGCGACGGCGGCGGCGGCGGCGGCGGCGGCGACGGCTGCGGCGGCGACGGCGGCGGCGGCTGCAGAGGGTCGGCGACTGCGGCAGTGGGGGCGGACGCACCGGGGAAGGGGGACGCGGCAAGGACGGACCGGGGGTACTACCAGAGTCAGCAGACTCCTCAACGGGGACAACCGACGGGAGGGGAGTGACGTGAGAGACACCAAACGGGGATGGACAAGGAGGGCGAGGGGCAGGGGCTACAGGGGGAGCGGGAGCAAGGAACACGGGGGGGCAACCAGGAGACCTCGGTGAGGAAAGCGGCGGTAGAAGGAGACAGACTCGTCAAAGGTGACGTCACAAGAGTGGAGGAAGCGGTGAGACGGCGGGTGGTAGAAAAGCCAGTCAGACGAGTCTAGGGAGAAACCGAGGAAGACACGGGGGACAGTGTGGGCAGTGAGCTTGTCCGTGCCAGAGGCACGAACGTGAGCAAGGCAGCCCCAGACGTGGAACGCAAACGTGTCACCGGGGGACCCGGTCCAAAGGAGGGTCGGCGAAACCTGCGGCCGCTGGGAGCGTGGCCACAGGTTAAGCTGGTGAGCAGCGTAGCGAACAGCGAACGGCCACAGAAAATGAGGGGCATCGGCATGAATCATGGAGGTACGGGCGACCTCCATGACCAAGCCGATGCGGCGCTCAGCAATCCCATTCTGCTGTGGCGAGTCCGGCAAGGTGTACGACTGGGTGATGCCCTTCGCACGACAGAACTGTCCAAGCCGACCAGAGGCGAACTCGCCGCCACGGTCAGAGTGGAGACACAACACGGGAAGACCGCGGTGAACACGCGCAGCTACTACCCACGGGAGAAGAACGTCGGGCACGTCAGCCTTCTGCTCCAGGGGAAACACCGTGGTGTAGCGCGTGTAGTCGTCGACGAGCACAAGGAAGTAGCGCTCACCACGCGGTCCGGGGACGAGGGCAGGGCCCTAAACGTCCAGGTGCAGGGTCTGAAGTGGGGCAGTAGCAGGGCGCAGCGAGGAGGAGTGAGGGGAGCGGCGGAGCCGGCCCTCGACGCAAGGCGTGCACGGTGGCGCAGTCGAGGGAGGAAGGGCAGGGAGCGACGCAGGGAGACCTTAGACAAGACCGTGCTGGGACATGTGACGCAGACGTGGGAGTGCAGGATGACCTAGG